ACTCTCTCCAACCCCCCACCTCCACCCTCGATAATGATCCGGGCCTTCAAATTGAAAATTTCTGCGGCATAAATTGAATTCATAAAGTATGATTCATGGACGGCGCATTATCTGGAGGCTGCCTGTAGAAAACACACACACACACACACGCACGCACGCACGCCCACGCACAAAAACACACAAGAATATCGATTAATAGTTTGCCTAAGATCCCAATAGCAGCAGCAGCAGCTTCTCTCAGGGCAAAGGGAAAAGCTTAACTACTTAAGCAAATCGCTAATTTCACCTTAAGGCCACCAATGTGTAGCCAGCGATACTTCTATTCAGCGCGCTGATGAATTATGGATGAAGTGGGCACACGTCCCAACAGCTAACAGAGGAGCGTGGAAACATGACACCCTCCACAACATTAAGACTTACTTTACAATTCGGCTTCACTTCTACGCCGCCATAATAAAAACCCACCTGACTTTTTTTCACCTCAGATTTACTGATAGTCGAAAATACTCCAGGTTTGGCTGAGGATTATTTTTAGGCTTTGCTATAAGGATTAAAATAGTTTTAAAAAATATTGATTTAATATGCCCCGAATTGATTGCTGATTTTATTTTATTAAAAAGGAGTTTTCAAAAAAATAAAATAATCAAGATTCGACAATGCAAGCTCTAAGCTTGTAAGGATTTTGATTTTAATATATGAGGTTTTGTATTTATTTTTAAAAATAGGGAATTATATAGATTGGAATTATATCGATATAATATTTTGACGTCAGTATTACAATTTTTAAAATAATCTCTAAAAATGGAGTCTTAATCCAGATTATTATTATTATTATTATTATTATTATTATTATTATTCCATTATATCATTTAATTGCAAAATAATAATAGTGTCATTTTTTGATTTTGTTAGATACCAATATTATTAAAATATATTCTGATAATTCCCCCGTCAATTCAGTTTTACAAAAATTAAATAAACATATTAAGGTTATTTCTCCATGAATAAATGAGAAATTCTGAGGTGAGTTTTTTAACTGGATAACAACATCAATCTCAGATACACCATGAAAAGAAAGTCAATTTTTTCATCATTTCACCCATAATCCTCTCCCGTCTTACTAAAAGACTATGATGCAGCACAGAAACAGCCCAGAAATGAATGGGGAGCAGAACCAACAAGCAGCACAGGACATCTGTGTACTCAGCACTATACACACACACATATATATATATAACATATATGAGCATACAGACACCTCTAACCCCCCAGTGCATGCTGGTCCAGATCTCCAATGCATGTCCAATGCAGTGACCAACCCCCATATATATACATATATATATATATATGTATATATATATATATATATATATATATACATATATATATATATATGTATATATATATATATATATATATACATATATATATATATATGTATATATATATATATATATATATACATATATATATATATATATGTATATATATATATATATATATACATATATATATATATATATGTATATATATATATATATATATATTTCTGTGTGACGTGACTGTGTGGGACTGGACCGAGTTAATATTTACCCAAACAGACGGAGAAAGGGTGCAGAGAGGGGGAGCAGATGTCCCAGATCCTGCACGGCCTCCCAGGGGACCGCCAACCCCTATTAGAACAAATGTGTTGTGCTATTGTAAATAGGCACGTTCGGCTCGGCCCTTCCTATTACAGCCGGCGCGTGATCAATAGGCTGATAACACGCAGACATCAATGTAAAGCGACAGAACAATGAGGGATATCATCGAACATCTATCTTAATATAGCCGACTACAAGGGCCGTCTGACAACACAGGCAGCTCATGAAAATTCCGCCCCACGAATCTCCTGCCACCATCTCCTCCTCCTCCTGCACCTCCTCCTCCTCCTCTTCCCCAATAGTCTATGCGCACTCACGCGCACAGCGGCCCGCAGCGCGCACACACACACACACACTCACACACTCACTCCCAGCTGCCGAGGCTATTATTTTCCTATTTCAATTTGACACTCAGGCCTTTTCATGCTAATTCTATTATTCTTGGAAAGTTTCTGTGATTTCATATCAGGAGGAAAATCGGTGGTGTATTATAACCCCCTCTGAGCTCACATAAACTGAATCGCCCTCTTTTGCAGTAGCCACCGGGAAAATAATTACTTTCATATCAAAACTCTGCAGGAGTTGAGCAGGGTCTCCCCTCTTTTTTTTTTTTTTTTTTTTGCCCGCGGGCTCGTAACCTCATTTTAGCGGGGGCTTATAGATGAATAAATTTGTTAAGTCAATATACAAAGTACAGCAAGACGTGAGATTTCCCTTCCTCAACTGTACACAGCTATTTAGGGTCTCACACGGTTCGAGGTGCTTGTATACAATAGATTTATTAAAAAACCTTACATATATAAATAATGTAATTCCCGCCTTTTTTACAGCTCTTGGGGATTTTGTTGGGTCACGTGGTGATTTTTCTTTTTTCTTTTCTTTTTTCAATAACACATTAGGAGGATAATCTAGAGAGAGTCTATAGAGAGAGGACACCGATGGTTCTGGTCAAGCTTTGGTTGTTGATGGTGTTTGTCATTAAGAGGTCACATTTGATTGTTTTGTTGTTGTTTGTTTGTTTGTTTGTTT